GCATAGGGCCATAAGGATAGTGCACCTGCAAACAACAACAGAAGAGCATTAAGATCAATTAAAATCATTTGTCTCACCCCTGTCAGTCTGTCTTTATACAGCTCAGTGAAAGGCATTTGCCTGCTTCCCATATATTAGTCAAAAGTTTTGGACACACCTACTCATTCCAGGGTTTTTCTTTATTTTGACTATTTACTACATTGTAGAATATTAGTGAAGACATCAATACTATGAAATAACACATATGGAATCATGTAGTAACCAAAAAAGTGTTAAACAAATCCAAATATATTTGAGATTCTTCAAATAGCCACCCTTTGCCTTGACAGCTTTGCACACTCTTGGCATTCTCTCAATCAGCTTCATGAGGTAGTCACCTGGAATGCATTTCAATTAACAGGTGTGCCTTCTTAAAAGTTAACTTGTGGAATTTCTTTCCTTATTAATGCGTTTGAGCCAATCAGTTGTGTTGTGACAAGGTAGGGGTGGTATACAGAAGATAGCCCTAGTTGGTAAAAGACCAAGTCCATATTATGGCAAGAACAGCTCAAATAAGCAAAGAGAAACGACAGTCCATCATTACTTTAAGACTATATGGAACATTTCAAGAACTTTGAAAGATTCTTCAAGTACAGTCGCAAAAACCATCAAGCGCTATGATGAAACTTCCTCTCATGAGGACAGCCACTGGAAAGGAAGACCCAGAGTTACCTCTGCTGCAGAGGATAAGTTCATTAGAGTTACCAGCCTCAGAAATTGCAGCCCAAATAAATGCTTCACAGAGTTCAAGTAACAGACACATCTCAACATAGCTATAGCCACTGGTAACATTGAATATATGAATCTACTGGTATGGTGCTGGAGAGAAATCAACTTTAAAAGCAGTGAATTGACCCTCTAACATCTCTTCTATACCTCTATTTATCCTCATGACCTGTGAAATGAATGTAGAACAGTGAAGTGACCACAGCATGTGGTGGTGGTGTAGGGGAACAGAGCAGTGTGTGACTGTTTCCTGTGTTCAGTTTGACCCTGTATGAGGAGGAGTGTCGTCGTCTGGAGGCTGAGATCTCTAGACTGAAGAAGGTGCTGAAGGTAAGACTGGTGGCCATGTCTATAGTCAATGTGAGAAAACCACATACAGTAGATCAGTATTCTCTGCAAACACTGCAATCTACTGTGTGTGTGTTTGTGTGTACATATGGGTGTATGTGTTGCAGTCAGAGGCCAACAAGGATGAAGTGTAGGATCACTTCTACCCTCATATGTTAAAACACCTGTACTCACTGTCATAGTCAATTCTACCCTCATATGTTAAAACACCTGTACTCACTGTCATAGTCAGTTCTACCCTCATATGTTAAAACACCTGTACTCACTGTCATAGTCAATTCTACCCTCATATGTTAAAACACCTGTACTCACTGTCATAGTCAGTTCTACCCTCATATGTTAAAACACCTGTACTCACTGTCATAGTTAGTTCTACAGTATGAAATGATACAGTCCACACATACAGTCTAGATAATTAACTAATCTCTCATGTACACTATGAGTGGTGGGGGTCAGACTGCATCCCCACACACACCATTAGACAAAAAGGCTGTGATTATATTTATGTGTGTGTGTGTGTGTGTACGAGGGAGCTGCCTCTGAGATGGAACAGAAGCCAGCAGGGAAGGAGAGTGGAGAGGCATCCATCAAACTCCCCATGACCTCTTCTGGAATGTGAGTGAACATAGAGTATATTATCTACCTGGTACAGCCAGGGCCACCCCTCAGAGTGGATATGAGTGGACATAGAGTATATTATCTATTATCTACCTGGTACAGCCAGGGCCACCCCTCAGAGTGGATATGAGTGAACATAGAGTATATATCTATTATCTACCTGGTACAGCCAGGGCCACCCTCAGAGTGGATATGAGTGGACATAGAGTATATTATCTATTATCTACCTGGTACAGCCAGGGCCACCCCTCAGAGTGGATATGAGTGGACATAGGTATATTATCTATTATCTACCTGGTACAGCCAGGGCCACCCCTCAGAGTGGATATGAGTGAACATAGAGTATATTATCTATTATCTACCTGGTACAGCCAGGGCCACCCCTCAGAGTGGATATGAGTGGACATAGAGTATATTATCTATTATCTACCTGGTACAGCCAGGGCCACCCCTCAGAGTGGATATGAGTGAACATAGAGTATATTATCTATTATCTACCTGGTACAGCCAGGGCCCACCCCTCAGAGTGGATATGAGTGGACATAGAGTATATTATCTATTATCTACCTCGTACAGCCAGGGCCACCCCTCAGAGTGGATATGAGTGAACACAGAGTATATTATCTATTGTCTAAATTGATGGGTCATGTGAAAGAAATGCTATAATCCCCAGCCACATCTTGCTAAGTGGATGGGTCTCTACAGAAGGTGTAAACGGTACAGTGAAATGGTTACTTGCATAGTAGCAATATCAAAAATTGATAGTGTCAATATAAAGGAAAATGAACACGTGTCAATGCCAGTAGAGAAAGAACCAAATAATATAAAGGATGTACAAGAACAATATCAAGAACCATATCAGTGATACTGGTGATAGATGAGGTAGTTACATGCATACAATCAGGGGTAAAGTGGCTGAGCAGCAGGATAAAAAAATTAATAGTAGCAGCAACGTATGGCGTGTGTGTTAGGAGAGAGTCTTGTGAATAGAGGCACTGCAGATAGTGCTGATGACTGGGAACTCGCCCCCAGTGATGAACTGGTCCATCCGAACCACACATGAACAAGGGAATCTATATTCGGAGAGTCTGTTTCTTTCCTGCCCTTGACTTTGGTGCAGGGCATGTGATGTCCATAGCCTCTTCGTCGCAAAACTCCCTGATCTTCTCAAAAATATACGTTCGTCTAGCTGTGTCCAGTCCAGGTGGTGCTTGTACAGGCAGACCATCTATGTGAGGAATGATGTCAGCGTTGCTTAGCAGCTGAGTCCGAACGCTCCTTGTCAACAACAACACCAGGCTCCAGAGCATCGAAGCTGTAAAACAGGAAATAAGGTGTTGTTGCCAGCCAATTAAGTTATTGCCTAGCAACAGAGTGCCCATGTTTAATCCTGACTCCATGTTCGTCATGTTTGTGATTAACTTTGTTTATCTCATAGCTTTCCACCAGCACCCTTCCATCCTCCAGTACAACTAGTTGACCCGTCACAGTGCTGTCCTTCACAACACCAGCAATCTCAGACAAAGTGTTTTCTCTGGTCTTTCTGCTTGATGAGGCGAAGCACTAGTCGGGGGTGAACTTGGTGTGGCCTGTGATCAGGAAGTGAAGGTCCAGACTGTGGTGGATCATGTGATCAGGAAGTGAAGGTCCAGACTGTGGTGGAGCTGGTCTGCCAGGCACAATACCAGAGCACAAACGTGTTCTTGTTTTGGCCACTGCAGTTGTCAGAATTCAGGTCCACACGTGTTTCCCCAACTCCGTAGTTGGTGAAGAAATGGTGCATGTAGTTGTTGACTGCGCTGCTGCCTTTGCTGGATGACATGCCTTCATCAATCAACTAGTTGACTTGTTGTGGTTTCACAGCAGTCACCAAACAAGCCACACTTGCGAGGAGTTAAAAAGTAGATGGGACCTGGCTGCATAGGGCCAGAAGGATAGTGCACCTGCAAACAACAACAGAAGAGCATTAAGATCAATTAAAATCATTTGTCTCACCCCTGTCAGTCTGTCTTTATACAGCTCAGTGAAAGGCTTTTGCCTGCTTCCCATATACAGTACTAGTCAAAAGTTTGGACACACCTACTCATTCCAGGGTTTTTCTTTATTGTTGCTATTTTCTACATTGTAGAATAATAGTGAAGACATCAAAACTATGAAATAACACATATGGAATCATGTAGTAACCAAAAAAGTGTTAAACAAATCTAAATATATTTTATATTTGAGATTCAAATAGCCACTCTTTGCCTTGATGACAGCTTTGAACACTCTTGGCATTCTCTCAACCAGCTTCATTTGGTAGTCACCTGGAATGCATTTCAATTAACAGGTGTGCCTTCTTAAAAGTTAATTTGTGGAATTTCTTTCCTTCTTAATGCGTTTGAGCCAATCAGTTGTGTTGTGACAAGGTAGGGGTGGTGTACAGAAGATGGCCCTATTTGTTAAAAGACCAAGTCCATATTATGGCAAGAACAGCTCAAATAAGCAAAGAGAAACGACAGTCCATCATTACTTTAAGACAATATGGAACATTTCAAGAACATTGAAAGATTCTTCAAGTACAGTCGTAAAAACCATCAAGCGCTATGATGAAACTTCCTCTCATGAGGACAGCCACTGGAAAGGAAGCCCAGAGTTACCTCTGCTGCAGAGGATAAGTTCATTAGAGTTACCAGCCTCAGAAATTGCAGCCCAAATAAATGCTTCACAGAGTTCAAGTAACAGACACATCTCAACATAGCTATAGCCACTGGTAACATTGAATATATGAATCTACTGGTATGGTGCTGGAGAGAAATCAACTTTAAAAACAGTGAATTGCCCCTCTAACATCTATTCTGTACCTCTATTTATCCTCATGACCTGTGAAATGAATGTAGAACAGTGAAGTAACCACAGCATGTGGTGGTGGTGTAGGGGAACAGAGCAGTGTGTGACTGTTTCCTGTGTCCAGGTTGACCCGGTCTGTAAAGATGCATTGTCTGAAGACTGAGATCTCTATGCTGGAGGAGAAGCTGAGGTTCATGAAGGTAACACTAGTGGTCATGTCTGAGAGGTCAAATGTCATTGTGATCAAACCACATATAGATCACAGACACATACTGTGTGTGTGTGTGTGTGTTAAAGTTCCAACTGTAATCTATTTTATGATGATATTGAGAGACCAGTAGAATGATTCTAGTATGTCTTAACAATATTAATGTGTTAATGTTCTTTATTTTATATCAGTAGTCAATATTTCTATTCTCTTCCTTATATCTTATCATCTTTGTTGTTTTAGAGACCCTTCATGTTGGATGTTACAGCTCTGCTGCTGACCACTCTGGAGGAGCTCACTGAAGAACAGCTGAAGACATTTCAGTGTTACCTGACTAGTTTCCAGCTGCCTGGCTTTCCTCCCATCCCAGAGAGCCAGCTGGAGAGCGCTGACAGACAGGACACAGTGGATCAGATGGTGAAGAGATACGACCCTGAGGGAGCTGTGAAGATCACACTGAACACAGTGAGGAAGATGAACCAGAATGATCTGGCTGAGAAGTTAGAGAGAGATCACAGAGGAGGTAATTACAGGTGTTGTTCATAGTCAGGATGTTGAGTGTTTCAAAAAAGAGTCCCAGCTTCTTTACTATTTTGTTTTATAACATATAAATGAGGATACAACATTTATGTCCCCTTTTGATAACACATCTCAGAAACGCAGGTAACACCTCTATAAACGGTCAATATAGAGTTTGTCATTTCAACTGTTTTCTCCTCAGTCCTCCAGGCCACTCAAAAAACGTTGAAGGAAATGCCAAGTTCCTCATCTCATAGTCCTCCTAGAACCCCAGGTAAGAGTGAAGGAGATGTAAGATCTTCATTTGATCATTCTTTTGTTGCTGAGAATTTTCTTATACGGCAAGAAATGCAAACTTGTAGTGTATTGGAGTTTTAAAAAGTTTTCTGAAGTTTTCCACTTGAATTGACCTAACGAAAAATGTATCAACTCCTACAAAAATGTCAATTAATTATAATATACATAATAGTTCACATTTCCTGTTGCTGCAGGATTATTTTCCTGCTGAAGCAAACTGGCTCAAATGAAGATCCTACATCTGTATTTAATACAAAGACAACTTTAAACCAATAACTAACAAAATTAGATATATACACTATTTCTGTGCAGATTCTCCTCTTCTCCTGGAACCCAATGATCCCATTGTTGGACAGGCCTTCACCTTGCCATCAGCGACTGATGGGACAATAGAAGAAGAGAGCCAGGACTGTGCCAGAGTGCCTCCGTCTGACAGCTTACCTGAAGCCATGGACGAGTTAAGCATCACAGAATGTAGAGTAGTGGACCAGAGCCTGTGTACTACTGACCCTCCCATGGTAAGACCCTCACTGGAAAGAAAGAAAGAAAGAAAGAAAGAAAGAAAGAAAGAAAGAAAGAAAGAAAGAAAGAAAGAAAGAAAGAAAGAAAGAAAGAAAGAAAGAAAGAAAGAAAGAGCCATTGAGTATCTGATTTTATGGTGGATTGTGGAGGAGAGGGGTTGAGTGTGTTGAAGTATGTGCGTGTGTGTTTGTCCGGCATCGGTTGTGGAGGGGTGGGGATGTTGGGGGGGTATGGGATGGACCACGGGAATTATTTGCTAGGATAATAATTGATTGTCAATAAATTAAATGTAATACAATGGCAATCCGGGTTATATGTTAAAATCCTACGCATGAACTGCCGACATTATTATGCATATTAATTGATAATGATGGAAAATATATAGAGAGAGAGAGGTGACAGCATTGGAAATGCTTTTGGCGGTTAATCTGCTTCTGTTTTGTGGGTGGCACTGTGTGCTGTTTTCGATGGATGGGTCCTGGCCTCTCAGGGCCCTAGGGATCCGGAGGGACGTGGGTGGGATGCCGATCACTGGGATGACGGCTCAACTTAGGATGGGGAGGGGCTTTAGCGGGGGAATTAGTCGTCTTGACTTCTTTCTTATCTCATTCTCGTTGGCACCAAAAGTTTTTAAAGTGTTGATAAGGGACAGAATGCGGTCGGACCATCATATACAGTGGGGAAAAAAAGTATTTAGTCAGCCACCAATTGTGCAAGTTCTCCCACTTAAAAAGATGAGAGAGGCCTGTAATTTTCATCATAGGTACACGTCAACTATGACAGACAAATTGAGAATTTTTTTTCCAGAAAATCACATTGTAGGATTTTTTATGAATTTATTTGCAAATTATGGTGGAAAATAAGTATTTGGTCACCTACAAACAAGCAAGATTTCTGGCTCTCACAGACCTGTAACTTCTTCTTTAAGAGACTCCTCTGTCCTCCACTCATTACCTGTATTAATGGCACCTGTTTGAACTTGTTATCAGTATAAAAGACACCTGTCCACAACCTCAAACAGTCACACTCCAAACTCCACTATTGCCAAGACCAAAGAGCTGTCTTAGGACACCAGAAACAAAATTGTAGACCTGCACCAGGCTGGGAAGACTGAATCTGCAATAGGTAAGCAGCTTGGTTTGAAGAAATCAACTTTGGGAGGAATTATTAGGAAATGGAAGACATACAAGACCACTGATAATCTCCCTCGATCTGGGGCTCCACGCAAGATCTCACCCCGTGGGGTCAAAATGATCACAAGAACGGTGAGCAAAAATCCCAGAACCACACGGGGGGACCTAGTGAATGACCTGCAGAGAGCTGGGACCAAAGTAACAAAGCCTACCATCAGTAACACACTACGCCGCCAGGGACTCAAATCCTGCAGTGCAAGACGTGTCCCCCTGCTTAAGCCAGTACATGTCCAGGCCCGTCTGAAGTTTGCTAGAGTGCATTTGGATGATCCAGAAGAGGATTGAGAGAATGTCATATGGTCAGATGAAACCAAAATAGAACTTTTTGGTAAAAACTAAACTCGTCGTGTTTGGAGGACAAAGAATGCTGAGTTGCATCCAAAGAACACCATACCTACTGTGAAGCATGGGGGTGGAAACATCATGCTTTGGGGCTGTTTTTCTGCAAAGGGACCAGGACGACTGATCCGTGTAAAGGAAAGAATGAATGGGGCCATGTATCGTGAGATTTTGAGTGAAAACCTCCTTCCATCAGCAAGGGCATTGAAGATGAAACGTGGCTGGGTCTTTCAGCATGACAATGATCCCAAACACACCGCCCGGGCAACGAAGGAGTGGCTTCGTAAGAAGCATTTCAAGGTCCTGGAGTGGCCTAGCCAGTCTCCAGATCTCAACCCCATAGAAAATCTTTGGAGGGAGTTGAAAGTCTGTGTTGCCCAGCGACAGCCCCAAAACATCACTGCTCTAGAGGAGATCTGCATGGAGGAATGGGCCAAAATACCAGCAACAGTGTGTGAAAACCTTGTGAAGACTTACAGAAAACGTTTGACCTGTGTCAATGCCAACAAAGGGTATATAACAAACTATTGAGAAACTTTTGTTATTTACCAAATACTTATTTTCCACCATAATTTGCAAATTCATAAAAAATCCTACAATGTGATTTTCTGGATTTTTTTTCTCATTTTGTCTGTCATAGTTGACGTGTACCTATGATGAAAAGTACAGGCCTCTCTCATCTTTTTAAGTGGGAGAATTGGTGGCTGACTAAATACTTTTTTCCCCTACTGTAATTGGCATTTACATTACTCTTACTGAATTTCCACGTCGGCGAGGATATTGGAAATGTAATCAAAGCCTATTGGATGATAATTTATTTATAATTAGAATAAAGGAATTTATAACTGACTTTTTCCGACATAACATAGGTACAGCAAATCCACTTATTGTATGGGACACCTTTAAATATGCCTTTAGAGGCCATGCAATTCAGTACTCATCTCGAAAACAAAAGCAATTTAGGTCAAAACAGTTTATACTAACAAAGGAAATAGAAAGTCTAACAGAACAGATAGATGGCAATAAAAACTGTAACATAGAGGCTCAGAATAAATTAGAGGAAAAACAAAAAGAAATGGAGAAACTTATTCAAGAAAGATCATATTATATTTATATATAAAAATAAAGCAAACTGGATGGAATATGGGGAAAAATGCACAAAATTATTTTTTTATCTTCAACATAGGAATGCTACCAAAAATAACTTAATGAAACTGGTTACAATTGACGGAGTCACCCATGATTCACCAAATTATATTTTGAAGGAGGAAACAAAGTACTTTAAGCATATGTTTTATTTTCAGTCGCCTCCATCTCCTCTAACTGAAGCTAATTGTAGAGATTTTTTTTCTATTGATAATGTAAAATTAACAGCCATACAGAAAGACTCATGTGAAGATGAAATTACAGAGGAGGAACTTCTGAATGCAATTAAAGACTTTAAGTCCGGGAAAACTCCAGGGTTGGATGGCATACCAGTCGAGGTATACCAAACCTTTTTTGATATACTAAGAGGACCGTTATTAGCATGTTTTAACCACTCCTATGTAAATGGTAGATTATCTGACACTCAAGAAGAAGGTCTGATCTCATTATTACTGAAACAGGATACAAGTGGAAAATATAAAGATCCAGTCCATGAAAAAAATTGGAGGCCCCTTACACTTCAGTGTTGTGATGCAAAAATTGTAGCAAAATGTATAGCGCATAGAATTAAAAAGGTATTGTCGGATATTATTCATTCTAATCAGACAGGTTTTTTACATGGAAGATACATTGGAGATAATATAAGGCATGTATTGGAAATAATAGAACACTGTGGAAAATATGGGAAACCAGGCCTGCTATTCATAGCAGACTTCGAAAAGGCATTTGATAAAGTACGACTGGGGTTTATATACAAATGCCTGGAACATTTCAATTTTGGAGAATCTCTTATAAAATGGGTCAAAATCATGTATAGTAACCCTAGGTGTAAAATAGTAAATAATGGCTATTTCTCAGAAAGTTTTAAACTGTCAAGAGGAGTGAAACAAGGTTGTCCACTATCAGCATATCTATTTATTGTGGCCATCGAGATGTTAGCTATTAAAATCAGATCCAATAACAATATCAGAGGATTAGAAATCCAGGGCTTAAAAACAAAGGTGTCATTGTACGCTGATGATTCATGTTTTCTTTTAAATCCACAACTAGAATCCCTCCACAGCCTCATAGAGGATCTAGATACATTTTCTAACCTATCTGGATTACAACCAAATTATGACAAATGTACTATATTACGTATTGGATCACTAAAAAATAAAAAATTTACATTACCATGTAGTTTACCAATAAAATGGTCTGATGGTGATGTGGATATACTCGGAATACATATCCCAAAGGAAGTAAATGATCTCACTTCAATCCATTTTAATAGAAAGTTAGCAAAAATAGATAAGATCTTGCTACCATGGAAAGGTAAATACCTGTCAATTTGTGGAAAAATCACCCTAATTAACTCTTTAGTATTATCCCAGTTTATCTATTTGCTTATGGTCTTGCCTACGCCTAGTGAACAGTTTTTTAAATTATATGAGAAAAAATATTCAATTTTATTTGGAACGGCAAGCCAGACAAAATTAAAAGGGCCTATTTATATAATGAATACGAATTCGGAGGACAGAAATTATTAAATATTAAAGCATTAGACCTATCACTAAAAGCTTCAGTCATACAAAAGTTATACTTAAATCCGAACTGGTTCTCAAGCAAATTAGTAAGAATGTCTCACCCAATGTTCAAGAATGGCCTTTTTCCCTTTATTCAGATTACAACCTCTCATTTTCAGTTATTTGAAAAGGAAATAATCTCCCAAATATCACTATTTCTAAAACAAGCCATAGAAAGTTGGTTGCAATTTCAATTTAATCCTCCAGAAACAACAGAACAAATAATGCAACAAATATTGTGGTTAAATTCAAATATACTAATTGACAAAAAAACTTTATTTTTTGACAGAATGTTTAAAAAAAGGTATAATCTTCGTAAATGATATCATCGGTAGGACTGGTGGAGTTATGTCGCACATGCAGCTAACAAAAACATATGGAAATGTCTGCTCTACCCAAAATTACAACCAAATAATTGCAGCCTTACCGCAAAAGTGGAAGAGGAAAGTGGAACGGGGAGAAAGTAAGGAACTTGTCTGTTGGCCTTACATTAAAGAACATAATTGGTTAAGGAAAACTGTGATAAATAAATAAATAAATAAAACAGTATATCAGTTTCACTTAAGGACCAATGGATTGACAGCCGTCCCATATAAATTGCAAAATAGTTGGGAAGAGATTTTTGACGTACCGATCCCATGGCATAGTGTTTATGAACTGACACGCAAAACGACACCAGATTCAAAAATGTGAATCTTTCAATTTAAATTATTATATAAAATTCTTGCTACCAATATAATGTTATTTAAATGGGGGATACAATCTTCCCAGCTCTGCAGATTTTGCTGTGAAGAGACATAATCATTAGATCATTTGTTTTGGTTCTGTCCATTTGTAGCTTGTTTTTGGACACAGGTCCAGGAATGGCTAAAGGATTGCAATATTTACCTGAAGCTAACCTTGCAGATAGCATTACTGGGTGATCTGAAAAGTCATAGTCAATCGATCAATAATATAATAATACTTTTAGCCAAAAAAAATATTTTTTATTCACAATCTGTAGAAGCAATGAGAATAGAAAGGTTCAGAACTTTTGTAAAACATTACAGTACGGTTGAAATATATATGGCAAATAGAAATCCTATATGGATGGTGTTAAAAGATAGATGGGAGGTATTGAATATAGTTGAAGGATGGGACTAATAACAAATAACAACAAATAATAACAAGATAACTAATAATGTAAGCATACTGTGTCCATAATAAGTATATAGATTGTATGTTGGGAGCTTTTGGGAAAGAGCACAGTTAGAAAGATATGGCATATAGAAGCAAAACGGATGGACATCAGGAAAATAATCGGAGAGGTTGAGAGTAGAAGAAGTTCAGGAGCAAAAACAAATACAATTGAATTATTGTAAAATTGAATGTGTTCATAAGGTGTAGATAGTAAGTATAGGCTGGAAGTAGAGGCCTGGGCATTGTTGTTCACTAATTTACCCCAAGTAGGGAAAGGATGGCGGGGTTGAAAAGTAATAAAGGGGAGTATATATATAAAAAACATGGGGGATTGGAAGTGATGCAGACAATTACATTGATGGAAGTTACAATCTATCTGCAATATTAAGCTGATCTACCCCCACAAAAACAAAAACAAAAAGAAAGAAAGAAAGAATGAAAGAAAGAAAGAGAGAAAGAGAGGAAGAAAGAGAGACAAGTTGAATATGTTTCTATTAAACTACTCTTTAAACCCTTTAAAATCTATTGTTTTTACATTTTAGAGGTCTCCTGAAAACTTTGAACCAGAAATCTACGATAATGAGGGCAAGGGAGCATACAGGTAACTCAGTATTATTTTACTTGTTTTCTCATGAATAGTTTGTAAGGACAATGCCTCATTTTTCAAATCATATTCAGGGAATGTAATTAAAATGTCATTCTTCATCATTGTTTGTTCTACAGGTTCCAGTGCCCCAGTGCAGGTCTGTTCCAGTGCAGTATAACATGCCTGAAGTTTAGGATGGAGGGAGAGGGAGAGTTGCTCTATAGGACAGTCCCCTGGGACAGGAGGCTTCTAGCCCAGAGAGGCAAAAGGCCTGCAGGACCCCTGTTCAACATTGACTGCTCTCAGAAGTCTGTCTGCCAACTACACCTCCCACACTGTGAGATTCATTCTGGTAAGTAATACATTTCCAGGGAGGTTATAGACTACGTATTCTTAATCACCATCAGTAGCATCACTACTCCACTACTTGGTTGTTATTTTCATCTGAACAGAAGACTAATGTTCTCTTTCTCTCCTAGAGGGTGGATGTGACTTCCTGTCTGTAGCCCATGTGACTGATGATGACAGTACGGAGTTTCTCCATCCCCATGAGACAACAGAAACTCATGTCATATTAAACATCAATGGATTCAGCAAATATGGCATCACCAAGGATATGGAAGCCCCTGTCTCTCCTATCCATGGTCTGGTGCTACTATTTTACCAACGCCCAGATGATACAAATAATTCCACCCTAAATGTGTTGTTGCTGCCCAGAAATGTTGACATTGATGAGGTAAGTAGATTAGAGTTGTCAAACTCTTCTTTCGTTGGAATTCTATCAAACTCGTACTGTTGAACTCACCTTTTGCCTTATTTTGGGGTGTAACGTAACACTAAATGGTGAATCCAAACCAGGGGGGTCTCTCGCTCGCCAACCCAACATCTTAACCATTACATCAAGACGATACCCTCAAGGTCCGATGGCGACATTTGGGCTTCCATGTTTCAGGCAGGGCTTACTGTCACGACTTCCTCCGAAGCTGCTTCCTCTCCTTGTTCGGGCAGGCTTCGGTGTTCGTCGTCACCGGCCTTCTAGCCACTGCCTCTCCTCATCTCATCATTCCATTTGTTTTGTCTTGTTTATTACACACACCTGGTTTCAATTCCCCTCATTAGTAGCTGTATAAGTGTTCCCGCTGCCCCCTTGTCTTTGTGTGTGATTGTTTATTGTGGAGGTTATATGAGCTCGGTGGAGCGCCTTGTACTTTGTATTGACATATATACAGAATAAACCTTTATTCTGTGATTTACCCTCCTGTGCCTGACTACCTCATCATGACAGTGTGTTCCAATCCATTTTCAATCCTCTCAAGGTGTGTGAGAAAAGGAAGAGAAGGAATGGAGACAGAGAAATCTACATTGAAAAAAATCCTAACTGTAGACTAACCCCGGACCAAAAATACACCCTCTCCACCGATCTTACAGATGAACATCACATAGATCCAGAGGTAGGCTAATATATATATATAACATGAGCTAGAGAGAGAGAGGAAATGTGTTAACACATGTACATTATTTTTGTGATGCTACCTTGATAAGAAATAGAAATCACGTACAATTCTGTTTGACTTGATACTTATGCTTTTTTTTCAGGAAGCAGAGTTTGTGGATTATGATTCCTATACAAACTACATGCCAACATTTCAGTTGTGTTTAAAAACTGTTGTTGAAGAAGTGAATCTTCTTCTGGAAGAACATGACGGTCCTGAAAATGAACGCGTATGGAACCGCCTTGTTTCACTACCAGGTAACTGAAATTCAGAGAGTGGGAGTTACTATAGAACTAGTAGTAATAGTAGCATTTTACATTTTACATTAGTAGCAATCATCATAATATATGGTAGTAGTGCTGTTGTTGATTTAATCTAATTATGATACAATTGATTATTTCACCATATAAATGTAGTACATCACCTTCTCTTTTAATCCACAGCCTCACCAACAGAAGTGAAGTCTACAGGTAACTGGTCTCATCAAACCTTATACTTGTCTTAGTCTCATCAACTCACAATTCAATTGGGAACAACTCATATTCTCCTAATGGTTCTGTGTTGTGCGCCATTTGATTTGACCTGCGGTTTAACCTCATAAACTGCACCATAAACTTAAACGACTATATTCTTTATGGTCTGTCACTTATTTTGTTAAAGGTCATGCACAGTCAAAATCATGTTTTTCATGAAATGTGATGATATTCGGATTAAATCAGATCAAAGTAGGATGACCAAAGTATAAAAAATGACTGTTGCTTCTGCATTGATAAAGTTATCATAAAGTTACTCATCCTCTCCCCCATGTCAACCACTTGGATTCAGGAGCTGGGATTATTAAAGGATTTTTGTGACATTATTTTCTTACCTAATTAAAATAAGTACCGCCTTGTAACCAACATCGCAGAAGGCGTATTCGCAGAGGGGTGTGGTTTACATAGCAGCGTGTTCGATGAATAGGGGAAACCTGTAATTATATTTTCTAAGGCAAATATACTTATAGGTTTCCGCTTTCATCTGTGTCTGGTGTTGGCTAGTTACTGGCTAGCTAGGTCTTTCACCAGCATGGAACAAAAATGGAGGAAGGTTAGCCCAAAACTCAGACACAATTGTCATGTCATTACATCAAGAGACAAACATGAGATTCATACAAACTTCTTGACATCATTGATAGTCATGATATATGACATATTAAGTAATTAACATTGTCTGACTGAGTTGACAAAACATTATGAACACCTGCTCTTTCCTGACATAGACTGACCAGGTGAATCCAGGTGAAAGCTATGATCCCTTATTGATGTAACTTGTTAAATCCACTTCAGTCAGTGTAGATCAGGGGTGTCAAACTCATTTTAGCTCATGGGCCACATGGAGGAAAATCTATTCCCAAGTGGGCCGGACCGGAAAAATCATGGTATATATAACTTAAAAACAACAACTTCAGATTGTTTTCTTTGTTTTAATACGATCAACATACAACATAAAGCTGGAGCCTGAGGACAGTGTGTCCAAAATAGTACAAGCACAACATCACTATTAATCATAAAACACGTCAAGTTTATTTGAAAATTCTAAAGAAAAAGAACACAAACACACAATGCCTCAGTGATTAACAGAACTGTTTCACAGATCACAGAACTATATCAGGGTGTCATTTCTCAGGCAGAAATGTAGATAAAAATAATGAAATCCTGTTCCCCAAACAAGTGCAAGAACCACAGAGTCAAGAATAGGTTAAATATACAAATAAAATGTCACGATCGTCTGAGGAAACGGACCAATACGCAGCGCGTGGAGTGAACATGATGACTTTATTTAATAAAGCACGTAAAATACAAAACAAAAGACGAAAGTGAAGTCCTACAGTGACTATGACTGAAACGGAACAAAAACCCACAAAACCAAGGAGAAACCACACAGTATAAATATGGCTCCCAATCAGAGATAACGAGCCGACAGCTGACACTCGTTACCTCCGATTGGGAGTCATATGACTAAACAAGCACAGTCACCAAACATAGAAATCAACAACCTAGACACCCCAACATAGAAATACACCCAAACCAATGAAAATGAACAACCCTGGCTCAAAATCAAAGTCCATGGAGCCAGAGTGTCACAGTACCCCCCCCTAAAGGTGCGAACTCCGGGCGCACCAACATAAGGACTAGGGGAGGGTCTGGGTGGGCGTCTGTCCACGGTGGCGGCACTGGCCCCGGTCGTGATCCCCACCCCACCACAGTCACAACCTGCTTCAGTAGCCTCCTCCCAATGACCACCCTCCAACTAACCCCACCTGGACTAAGGGGCAACACCGGACTAAGGGGCAGCACCGGACTAAGGGGCAGCACCGGACTAAGGGGCAGCACCGGACTAAGGGGCAGCACCGGGATAAGGGGCAGCACCGGGCTAAGGAGCAGCACCGGACTAAGGGGCAGCACCGGGCTAAGGGACAGTACCTGACTAAGGGGCAGCACCGGACTGAGGGGCAGCTCCGGACTGAATGGCGGATCCTGGCTGGCTGGCTCTGGCGGATCCTGGCTGGACGGCTCATGGCTGGCTGACGGATCTGGCTGCTCATGGCTGGCTGACGGATCTGGCTGCTCATGGCTGGCTGACGGATCTGGCTGTTCATGGCTGGCTGACGGATCTGGCTGCTCATGGCTGGCGGAAGGCTCTGGCTGATCCTGTCTGGCGGACGGCTCTGGCTGATCCTGTCTGGCGGAAGGCTCTGGCTGATCCTGTCTGGCGGAAGGCTCTGGCTGATCCTGTCTGGCGGAAGGCTCTGGCTGATCCTGTCTGGCGGAAGGCTCTGGCTGATCCTGTCTGGCGGAAGGCTCTGGCTGCTCCTGTCTGGCGGAGAGCTCTAGCGGCTCCGGTCTGGCGGACGGCTCTGAAGGCTCATGGCAGACGGGCGGCTTTGCAGGCTCAGTACAGACGGGCAGTTCCTGCGGCGCTTGGCAGACGGACAGTTCAGACGGCATTGGGCAGACGGGCAGTTCAGACGGCGTTGGGCAGACGGACAGTTCAGGCCCCGTTGGGCAGACGGGCAGTTCAGACGGCGTTGGGCAGACGGACAGTTCAGGCCCTGTTGGGCAGACGGCAGACTCTGGCTGTCTGAGGCGCATCGTAGGCCTGGTGCGTGGTGCCGGAACAGGAGGTACCGGGCTGAGGACACGCATCTCAGGGCTAGTGCGGGGAGAAGCAACAGGGCATGCTGGACCCTGGGGACGCACCGTAGGCCTGATGCGTGGTGCCAGAACTGGAGGTACCGGGCTGAGGACACGCATCTCAGGGCTAGTGCGGGGAGCAGCAACAGGGCATGCTGGACCCTGGGGACGCACCGTAGGCCTGATGCATGGTGCCGGAACTGGAGGTACCGGGCTGAGGACACACATCTCAGGGCTAGTGCGGGAAGCAGGAACAGGACGCACAGGACTCGGGAAACACACAGGAGGCTTAGTGCGTGGTGTAGGCACTGGTGGGAAAGGGCTGGCGACGCGCACCGTATCCCTGGTGCGAGTGGCCGGAACAGGCCGGGCCGGGCTGGCGAAGCGCACCGTATCCCTGGTGCGAGTGGCCGGAACAGGCCGGGCTGGGCTGGCGAAGCGCACCGTATCCCTGGTGCGAGTGGCCGGAACAGGCCGGGCCGGTCTGGCGAAGCGCACCGTATCCTTGGTGCGAGGGGTCGTAACAGGCCGGACCGTACTGGAGGCACACACCACTGGCTCTACCCCGGGAACTGGAACGGGCCGGACCGGACTGGATACACACCTCAGTCTCTCACGCCGTGCCTCTACATCTCCTTTCCCTACTTTGGCCAGTGACCCCCGTAACCTGGTTGCCTCCTGAATACGCCCCTTCTCTGCCTCCGTTAGCCCCCTTAACCTGGTAGCCTTCTGAATTTGCCTTGTGGCAGCCTCCTGCTGCTCAGTCGCCCAAGCCATGTGCCCCCCCCAAAAAATTTCTTGGGGTTGCCTCTCGTCCTTCCGACGTTGGCTCTGCCGACGCCGTTGCTCCTCTCTCCGTCGCCTCTCCTCTGTTTCGCTCCATGGACGGCGATCCATGCCATCCAGGATTTCTTCCCAAGTCCAGGACCCTTTTCCGTCCAAAATCTCCTCCCATGTCCAGACCTTTGGAGCTGGGTCCTGTTGCCGCTTGACACGCTGCTTGGTCCTCTTATGATGGGTTTTTCTGTCACGATCGTCTGAGGAAACGGACCAATACGCAGCGCGTGGAGTGAACATGATGACTTTATTTAATAAAGCACGTAAAATACAAAACAAAAGACGAAAGTGAAGTCCTACAGTGACTATGACTGAAACGGAACAAAAACCCACAAAACCAAGGAGAAACCACACAGTATAAATATGGCTCCCAATCAGAGATAACGAGCCGACAGCTGACACTCGTTACCTCCGATTGGGAGTCATATGACTAAACAAGCACAGTCACCAAACATAGAAATCAACAACCTAGACACCCCAACATAGAAATACACCCAAACCAATGAAAATGAACAACCCTGGCTCAAAATCAAAGTCCATGGAGCCAGAGTGTCACATAAAATCAATTAAAAACAATAGCACATCAACATAAAAACATATAAACATAAAGCTGGAGCCTGAGGACAGTGTGTCCAAAAGCACAACATCACTATTAATCATAAAACACCTCAAGTTATTTGAAATTCTGAGGACAAACAACACACAAACACACAATGCCTCAGTGATTCAGAGAAGTATATCACAGATCACAGAACTATATCAGGGTGTCTCATGCAGCACTTTAAGTGGGGTTGCATAGTTTATTTGACTCCTGATACCTGGCATCTTTTAGCTTTCACCAGCGCATCAATATCAGGTGTCACATCCTGAGTGGCAGCCAACTTCAGGATGTGATTCAAGTGCTTGTGCGTGAGCCTTGAGCGCAGCTTTGTTTTATTTATGCTCATTACAGAGAAAACTTGCTCACAAAGATATGTGGCTCCAAACATGCACAACAGTTTTGCAGCGAGGGCTGTCAAGTTGGGGTAACCTGGCAAGAGATTCTGATTAAATGTGTCCAAGCCAGCTGCGGCAAATTTGCCCTTCAAATCCGAGTCACACTGCAAGTCTATTATTTCAAGTTGGATGTGGTCCTCTGTAGCTCAGCTGGTAGAGCACGGCGCTTGTAACGCCAAGGTAGTGGGTTCGATCCCCGGGACCACCCATACACAAAAAAAAATAAAAAATGTATGCACGCATGACTGTAAGTCGCTTTGGATAAAAGCGTCTGCTAAATGGCATATTATTATTATTATTATGCTGACGGGCAGATCAGCGGGATTCACGGTGAATGGCGAGCAAAAAACTTTGAAGTCTTTCTCCAGTTCACCAAAAATCTGAAAGCGTTGCTCAAACTCCTGTAACAGTCCCGTTATTTTATCTTTGAACCGCTTCATGTCTGCCACATGTTGGGTCGCGCACACATTTTTCAGACAGGGGAAGTGAGCTGCATCACCACCGGCAAGTTGCGTCTCCCACAATGACAGCTTCAACTTGAAAGAACGTATGCTGTCATAATACTGCGTGACAACTTTGTTGCGCCCTTGCAGCTGTTTGTTCAAGTTATTCAGGTGCTCTGTAACATCCACCATAAATGCAAGGTCCTGCATTCCCCCACTGGGAAGAGTATTATTACTGAGATAATTACTGATGTCCTGTATTGTAAGAGCAATACAATTGATGAATACTATTTTTCTGATATAAACTGATCATACTTTTAATGTCCTTAATATAAACACTTTGAGGTTATAGACCCTTTTTCTCTCTCTGTCCCAGCCCCTCTCCCTGCAGCCACTCCTGCCAGACCCCCTACTTTCTCAGGACAGGACTTCATTACCAAACACAAGAGTGCTCTAGAAACTCGCCTGGGACTCTTGCCGCGCATTCTGTCGCTTCTGGAGGATCACAAAGTTCTGAATGCTGAGGAGAGGGAGGAGGTGGTCAGCAAATCCACCGATATCCTAAAGAACCAAGCCCTGCTGAACATGGTGGTGAAGAAAGGGGCTCGTGCCCAGAAACAATTCTACCAGGTCCTGAAGGAAGTAAATCCCTACCTGGTCGAAGACCTGGAAGAGCAGACAGTCTGAGACAGGTGCCATGGATACCACCTCACAACCTTTAGAAGATATCAAAACATTTATCAGCGACAGAGAACAGTACTTTGAGGAGGAGCCATCCTGACCAGAGGTGGTTGGTGTGTAACGTGATTGGACCCCATTCTCACCAGCACTCCCATCAGTCTGTAGTTTCCTATACAAGCCCCAGATCTCAGGCAAGGTGACATCACTGTGAGGCTACTGTCTACCAGACAACCTACCTGTGTTACTCTGGTACACTGGCTGCAGACTACAAGATCAGGGACTCTAATGTTTTTAATAGTCATAAAATAAATTATTTTAAATTACTGAGTATGTTTACATGCACAGTAATATAATTAATAGTAATATATTAATCTGACTATCCAGCATGTAACCATACTCACTGTAGTGCATATGTGAATATGATAATAATATAATAATAATATGATGGTATTGTTGAACTTTTTACATTATGTCATTACCTTTATAAACACAATATTCTCTGATGATTTAGTGGAATGAATAGAAAATAATAGGGTACGAGAATAGAACACAACACAACACAATACAACGCAACACAATACAACACAATACAACACAACACAACACAATGCAACGCAATACAACACAACACAATGCAACAACACAATACAACAACACAATGTATCTAAATACTTGACTAATCCCTGAGCAGGAAGTGTCGGGAGTTGAGGGAGTGAAAAGCAGCAGCAGTACAGTAAATTAAATGACTGAGAAACTCACTGTTATTTTATCATTCAAATGTTACTGAGATTTTACATTTACAGTCGCTCTTATCCAGAGCGACTTACATTTAGTGAGTGCATACATTATTATTATTATTTTAAAAAATTCATACTGGCCCCCCGTGGGAAACGAACCCACAACCCTGGCGTTGCAAGCACCATGCTCTACCAACTGAGCTACACGGGACTACGTTAGATATGATCAAGTACGTTAGATAATTACATTTCTAAAGAACAATATGGATAGATAAATAGTGTTTTCCAGTCTTCTATGCAACCTTTCTCTTGTTACTTCTGGATTGTTGAAATTGTTAAATAAAAGTTGAAAGTCGTAGGCTACGAATGTACTGTTTTTTTTTACCCGCTCCAGAGTACAGGCCTCGGTGTAACGCTCATTCCTTCGACGATAAACACAAATCCGACCATCACCCCTGGTGAGACAAAACCGTGACTCGTCAGTGAAGAGCACTTTTTGCCAGTCCTGTCTGGTCCAGCGACGGTGGGTTTGTGCCCATAGGTGACGTTGTTGCCGGTGATGTCTGGTGAGGACCTGCCTTACAACAGGCCTACAAGCCCTCAGTCCAGCCTCTCTCAGCCTATTGCGGACAGTCTGAGCACTGATGGAGGGATTGTGCGTTCCTGGTGTAACTCGGGCAGTTGTTGTTGCCATCCTGTACCTGTCCCGCAGGTGTGATGTTCAGATGTACCGATCCTGTGCAGGTGTTGTTACACGTGGTCTGCCACTGCGAGGACGATCAGCTGCCCGTCCTGTCTCCATGTAGTGCTGTCTTAGGCATCTCACAGTACTGACATTGCAATTTATTGCCCTGGCCACATCTGCAGTCCTCATGCCTCCTTGCAGCATGCCTAAGGCACGTTCACGCAGATGAGCAGGGACCCTGTGCATCTTTCTTTTGGCGTTTTTCAGAGTCAGTAGAAAGGCCTCTATAGTGTCCTAAGTTTTCATAACTGTGACCTTAATTGCCTACCGTCTGTAAGCTGTTAGTGTCTTAACGACCGTTCCACAGGTGCATGTTCATTAATTGTTTATGGTTCATTGTACAAGCATGGAAAACAGTGTTAAAACCCTTTACAATGAAGATCTGTGAAGTTATTTGAATTTTTACGAATTATCTTTGAAAGACAGGGTCCTTAAAAGGGGACGTTTCTTTTTTTGCTGAGTTTAGATACTCATTTTACTTTAATGTGAATGTTTTACAATAGGTTAATGGTAGCCACATCTCCGAATAACAGCACACCCTGGAGGTTAACGTTAATGGCTACTTCCTGATGTAGCCTATGTTAATTTCTCACAGCTGATGGGTTGATTGCTCTTATCCTCCACGGGATCAGTGTCCCGTATACGGGACGGTTGAGCTAACGTGCGCTAATGTGATTAGCATGACTAATGTAAGTAACAGCAAACTTTCCAGGACATAGACATGTCTTATATGGGCAGAAAGCTTAAATTCTTGTTAATCTAACTGCACTGTCCAATTTACAGTAGCTATTACAGTGAAATAATACCATGTTATTGTTTGAGGAGTGTGCACAACAACAAAAAACGTATCACGGCAACTGGTTTGATACATTCACCTCTGAAGGTAAATAATGTACTTACATTCAGTAATCTTGCTCTGATTTGTCATCCCGAGGGTCCCAGAGATAAAATGCAAACACTTTGTTGATAAACATGTTTTATTCAAGTAGGAACT